TTTTATTCAGCCCTTTTACTTCAGCATTTCTTCCGTTGGCTTTAGCTAATCAATGTTCAAGAGCAAGTTTTGGAGTCTCTTCTGACATCCATTTTGGTCTTCTCTTTCTTTCCTGTCTTTTTAATGACCTCTTGCTTCCGTCATGTATGGTGTCCTTGATGTCATTCCACAACTCGTCTGGTCTTCGGTCCTTAGTGTTCAATGCGTTAAATCTATTCTTGAGATGGTCTCCAAATTCAGGTGGCATATGCTTAAGGTCATATTTGGGCTCTTGTGGAATTGTTCTGATTTTCTTCAGTTTCAAGTGAAACTTGCATATGAGCAATTGATGGGCTGTTCCACAGTCAGTCCTGGCCTTGTTCTGACTGATGTCATTGAACTTTTCCATCATCTCTTTTGACAGATGTAGTTAATTTGATTCCTGTGTATTCCATCTGGTGAGGTCCACATGTATAGTCACTGTTTATGTTGGTATAAAAGGTATTAGCAATGAAAAAGTCATTGGTCTTGTAAAATTTCATCATGCGATCTCCGACATCATGTCTATCACCAAGGTCATATTTTCCAACTATAGATCCTTCTTCTTTATTTCCATCTTTCCCTTTCCAATCACCAGTAATTATCAAAGCATCCTGGTTGCAGGTTTGATCAATTTCAGACTTCAGAAGTTTGTAAAAATCTTCAATTTCTTCATCTTTGGCATTAGTTTTTGGTGCACAAATTTGCATAATAGTTTTATTAACTGGTCTTCCTTGTAGGTGTATGGATATTATCCTATAACTGACAGCATTGTACTTCGGGATACATCATGAAATATTCTTTTTGACGATGAACGCAATGTCATTCCTCTTCAGGGTGTTATTCCCAGCATAGTAGACCATATGATTGTCCAATTCAAAATGGTCAATACCAACCCATTTCAGCTCACTACTGCCTAAGATACTGATGTTTATGTGTTCTATTTCATTTTTGACGACTTTCAATTTTCCTTGATTCATACTTTGTACATTCTGCATTCCAATTATTAATGGATGATTGCAACTGTTTCTTCTCATTTTGAGTCCAGTCACCTCAGCAAATGAAGGTCCCAAAAGTTTGACTCAATCCATGTCATTAAGGTCGACTCTACATTGAGGAGGTAGCTCTTCTCCAGTCGTATTCTGAATGCCTTCCAACCTGAGGGGCTCATCTTCTGGCACTATATCAGACAATTTTCCACTGCTATTCATAAGATTTTCTCTGGCTAGCTCTTTTCAGAAATAGACTACTGGTTCCTTCTTCCTAGTCTGTTTAGTCTAGAAGCTCAGCTGAAACCTTTTTGCCATGGGTGACCCTGCTGGTATTTGAATACAGGTAGCATAGCTTCCAGCATCACAGCAATACTCAAACCCCCACAGTATGACAAACTGATAGACACATGGGGTCAGAAATATAGCAAGACCATAGAGCCACTTGGAAGCATTATTTGAATATAATATTACTGTCCTGAGAAAAGTTCAAAATCTTAGTGGAGAGACATTAAATATAGAACAAGACCACCAAGGGTATTTGATAAGACAGGGTGTACAATTCCTAAATCCTTGGTCTGAAGGTATGTCTGAGAGATGAATGAAGAGATTCCTTTGCATTTGAGAGAAAAAAGTTCATATACAACAACTTTGGCTTCTAGAGATTAAGAGAGAAATAATAGAGATTTCTTAAAGCACTGTCAGTATCATAGATTGAGTAAGCCATTTGTGAGGAGTTGGAGAACTATGAAGTTGTGTCTAAGAGAAGGCACAGTGTATGTAATACCATCAGTGAATGAGAAGGACCAGATGCTGAGGTGGAGTTTTCGTTGCCAAGCAGCCGTGGAAGGGATAGAACATTCCTAGCAATAGGTTCAACATGTGCAAATGGCTCAATATAGGAAAGAGATTGCTGATTTGGAAGAACTGAAATGAGTCAAATATATTTGGGGCTTTGAAAATAAAAAGGAGAGAGATTCAAGGTAAGTTTAGGGTAATAGATGTGTGCTGGGTAGCAGAGGTTCTCCTCTCAACAACTCTAAAATTTTTAACTTTATACTAAGAGCAATGAAGAGCGATTGGAGGATTAAAGAGGGTAACAGTGTTGTCAGAAGACCTGGTGGTACAGAAGTTAAGTACTTGCCTGCTAACCGAATGGTTGACAGTTTGAACCAACCAGCTGCTGTCTGTAATCCTTAAAGATTACAGCATTGGAAACCCTGTGGGGCAGTTCTACTTTGCCCAGTAGAATCTCTGTGAATCGGAATCGACTTGTGGAAATGAATTTTAACACTATTGTCTTTGCTTTTTAAAACAGTAACAATGACTCTGGCTACAGAGTGGGAATGAATTATCCATACAGGGCCATGAATGGACACAGTACAACACTGGGAAGCTAAAGAAATATTCCTAAGAAGTAGGACGGTGGCTTGGTCTGGGGAGGTGGGAGAAGTAAACAGAATTGAAAACTCGTTGTGAGGTAGGATCACAAGAACATGGTTGATCGAACAGAGAAGGTGAGTAACAGAAGGCAGCAATGATGAACTCCTAGCTTTTTAACATGAACAACTGAGTTAGTTATGGGGCCTTCCACTAAGATAAGACTCTTGGAGTATTCTGTAGTTCTCTTATGGTTCTTGTTACCTCTAGCTTTTGCTGCTCTATAGTAGGACAAATTACAGGGATCCAAAATAATCTTCTCTACACAGTTTTCATTGTGACATATTACTTTCTTTGAAAGAGAAGTTTTGAGGTAGGCTAGATATTTTCTGTTTAGTTCTTCTAATATTGGAAGTGAAAGTTAATGCTCTTCCCCTCTGGGAAAGTGCTAAATGGAGATAAAATTATAAGCTTTATTATAATAAATTAAAGTTGAGACCAGAGAGTCATTTCTCTCAGGTCAAAATGGATTAGAGCTTGTGAATTAGACTTAAAGCCACTATGAAGCTCCTTATTTATTCTACCCTCCCCGCTAAAATCTAGATCCTGTATTCTGCCCAGGGGATGATCAGATGTACAGTTCAGTCTGAATACACCTACCCACCCACTATTATTGAGTGGATTCTGACTCATAGTGACCCTATAGGACAGAGTAGAACTGTCCCATAGGGTTTTCAAGACTGTAATCTTTACAGAAGCAGACTGCCACATCTTTCTCTCATGGAGCAGCTGCTGGGGTGGAACTACTGACATTTTGGTAGCTGCCAAGTGCTTTAAGCCCTGCACCATCAAGACTCCTATACCTACTTGTCTTAGGCTGGGTTCTCTAAAGAAGCAAAACCAGTAAAGCGTATAAATTTATATATATATAGGGAGAGATTTATATCAAGGAAATGGGTCATGCATTTGTAGAGGTTGTAATGTCCCAAGTCTGTGAGTTGGAATAAAGACTGCCCCTGATTCATGCAGCCGCAGGTGCTGGAGAACCCAAGATTGGCAGGTCAGGGACCAGTGCTCTTGCTCACAGATTGTGAAGAACAAAGAATCCTAAGATAGGCAGGCCGAACCACAGGTAAGCTGCTAGCTCAAATCCCAAGAACTGGAGGTCAGACGAACAGGAAACAGCAGCAGGATCCAGAGCAAGCAAAAGCCCCCAAGCCCTGCCAGAAGGTTGGCCTATACTCAGTGCAGGACACATGCCCAAGGAAACTCCCTTTCAACTGATTGACTACTCACAGCAGATCCCATCATGGGGGTAATCACATATCAAATCTCAACAGGGAAGTGACCACAACATCACACAACTGCCAAAACACTGAGAATCATGGCCCAGCCAAGTTGACCCAAAATCTTAACCATCACCCTACTCAACAGCACTTAATATGTAACCTACTTTACAAATGTGGTTATCATCAAAGCAATGTGCAATAGAAAGAAGAGCACACCCTGGCCTGCCTTTGCCTAGTCCTTTGTTTGGTGTGATGAGTCAGCTTTTTGTGGCCTTTCTAGCCATGATCTTGTAAATCCCATTCAAGTGATTAGATGGGACTGTGTAAATAAGATAATTGTGGCCTACCAGGGGGATTGGTCAGTTTTGCCTTAAAAGAGAGCCAATTCCAGAGCAGAGACTAGATATCACCATACCAAGAAAGAATAGCTAGAAACAGCACTTTTTTGGACCTGGGATCCCTGCACTGAGAAGCTCATGGAACCAAGAGACTCAGAGAAAGAGAGAGAGAGCTGTAACACTGAAGGCAGAGAGAAGTTGGCAGAGATCCCACAGGAGGAGACAGTGTGGTGGCATCCCAGCCCATGGAGAAAGCTGAGTGCCTTTGGGCAGAGACCAAGGGTATGGGAGAGGTATGTCTGTGAGCATGGCTACAAAGAAGCTGTCCCAATGGAAGAACTGTGTCCTGAGCGTTCCTGAGCCTGAATTGTACTTGTTACTTCCCTAGTAAACCCCATAATTGTGAGTATTGTCTGAGAGTTCTGTGTGGCCATTGCAATGAATTATTGAACCCTGCAGAGAAGAAGAGAGTGCCATGGGAGGGATGGCTGGTGTCAGAATTGGTAAAGATGACTGAGAGAGGAGGCATGTCTGAACTCCACCTCATAGGAATCAGCCTTGGTCTGTTGATCTTGAATCTCTTTCCCTCTTGTGGAGTTAGAGGAGATCAGACACCACCTCCACATCATTTGTGCATGTGTCTAGTTTATTCCATGAGAGCAGGAAGCACATGACAACTCTGACTCTTCTGAACAATCTTTGAAACAAACCAGAAAAGATAGATAGGCACAAACACTAACCACATGGCAAAATGAATATCATGCTCTCAGAAATCATGTAATCCCCTCCTTCCTCCCTCCTCAAGAAAGAGCAAATCAGGGATGTGGAAATAAATTCTCTCCTTAATACGTTGTGAAATGTCCTAACAGCTGTTATAACTTAGTGAAGGAATACAGACCAGAGGTTGTCTTACGGAGGAGCCTGCCTCAAGTGCCCATGTCCTGTCATTTCCAGGACCTCATTCTGAATTATGTTTCTTATTGTAGCACCTTTTCTGCTTCCATGACAACCCTGCAGGGACCACAAAACACCACACCAGGGGCTGACTCTAGTGTATCCCAGATGGGACAGCCTGCTGCTCTACACTTGGATCCGTGGAAAGGGATGTCAGAGAAAAGGGTACTCAGGATCTTCGGGGTAAGTCAGGTACAGATCTGGGAGAACACCAATGATGTTGTAATGTCAAAATTGATCAGACCTGATGAAAAATACTCTCTCCTACAAGCCGCATATGACATCAACTGATCTTCGGGACAGCAGTATTTGATGTCCAGGCCCTATCGCTTGAAAAAAAAAATGGCAGAATATTCTATCACATCATGCATCTAATCCATGCAGGTCACCCATGATAAATATATTTAACTTCTGCATGGAAGAGCAGCAAAAGAAAAGGCCATGTGTGGACTAGATAGTGTCCCCTCCACAGGCCATCCTGATACCTGATGGCTGCCTATTGTTAGTATCTCTCTCTTGGTCACTTTCTAAGCCAGTTCTGCTCTGCAGAGGATGAAAACTCTTACATCTTCTGTGCATTTCCCCTTTGATTCTTAGGTATATTTCCCTGAAAGTAATGAAGGATGTAAAGAAAGACAAGTTAGTGCTAGTGAAAGGACAGTGAATATAGAAGTTTATCTGTAGCTCTGGCTTCAAAGCACTGGGACAAAGTCATTGTGGACACTTTGAATCCTTTTTAATATCGTGAGACAATTGTAGTCAAACTCCCCTAATTTTTGACCTCTGTCCTCACAGTCATGGCCTCAGGTCCCAGATCCGAAGAACATATCATATTTGCTCTTTTCTTCTTGTCCCCTGTATGGACTCTCCTTCCTTCAGGTCATTTATCCTTGCAAGAAGACTTTTTCTGCCTCCTGTTTCTCCCCTATCTGGTCATGTGAACAAAGGAGAGCAACAGTTGTCATAGGAGTACTTATGACATCTTGGATTGTCATCGTGGGTACTGTACAGTGTCTCTGAGCAATTCCTGGCACAGTATTTTCTACTTTGAAATTCCTGGGCAAATATAGATATCCAAAGAGATAACTCTGGTAATTTACTATATTCATAGCTCTTTATATGGAAAAAAAATTGACCAGAGAATATCAAGAAGTACATCTGACTATTCCAAACAATTGAGAAGGAAAGTAAATCAGTGGTTGGAGAAAGGTTGCCTTGGGTATCATTTCTGTAGTGGATGATTGGTTTTTACTTTCGTCATCATTTCTAGGTTGTCCAGATCTTGATTGCCTTGATAAACCTCAGCTTGGGAATAACAATACTGTGTGTCTCGTTGCTATTTGATGAACCAGCACCCATTTCAGTATACATGGGTTACCCAGTATTGGGGTCAGTAATGGTGAGTAGAACACCCTCAGAAATAATTGGAGACAGTGTCCTAACTCTACCTTGTAGTTCTATAACCTTGAGAAATATAGCTAACCTCCCTCTGAGTCAGCTTTTTCATATTTAATGAGGAAATAGTAATATAAAAGACATAGAAAATTAGGCAAATTAAATATTTAATATATATCAGTTATAATATTTTACAGCAGTGTCATGGATTGAATTGTGTCCCCCAAAAATATCTGTCAACTTGGCTCGGTCATGATTCCCAGTATTGTATAACTTTGTACCATTTTTTAATCTGATGTGATTTCCTTATGTGTTGTAAATCCAATCACTATGATCTAATAAGATGGATTAGCAGCATTTATACTGATGAGGTATACAGGATTGGACAGGGTCTTAAGCCAATCTCTTGTGAGATACAAAAGAGAGAAGTGAGCAGAGACACTTGGGGACCTCATACCACCAAGCAAGCAGTGCCGGGAGCAGAGTGCATCCATTGGACACTGTGTTCCTGTGCAGAGCTGACACCCTGAATTTGGACTTCTAGCCTACTAGACTGTGAGAGAATAAACTTTCTGTTAAAGCCATACACTTGTGGTGTTTCTGTTATAGCAGCACTAAATGACTAAGACAAGCAGCATGTAACCAAAGACCCAACCCAGAATGTCAAATATATTGAAAGCATTGATTATTTCAAAGTGAGAAGGTCAGTAGCAAGTCATTTCCAGGTTGGTCCTTGGTTGGTGATGCAGGACTTCATCAAGGACTCCCGTAGACTATATCAGGCTTCTTGACTTAGCTCAGTGTTCAGAAATGTTTTATATGCATATTCCCAAACCAACTATGGGCAATGTGGATAGACTTACCATCATTGGTTTGGACTTATCAAGATTCACCACTGTGACTACCTTCATTCTACCTTGAAGCTCATGGGGGACTAAACAAAATAAAGGTTTTGTTGGTAGGGAAGAGAAAGGGAGGCGGTTGTTATGCAGGCAATTTATAATGTCTGGCCTAATGACTACCAGGTCTTAGTAAATGATTTAGGTTAGCAAATGGGACTAGTAGATCAATTTTGTTTCATATTTTTAATAACAATAACTATAATTAAAATTAAAAACATTATTAAAATTAAAATTAAAGAATATTTTAAAAGTGCCCACCTAATAAACACACAAAAAAATTCTCTGAAAATTGAGAGTATAAATGAGAATGAACTATCAAGTTTCATCCACTAACAACAGGAGAAAACTTTATAACAATATTTATTTTAAAAATCAGGGAACTGATTCAGGCATTCAGGGGCTTCCATTTATTTACCTCTACAAAGTTGAGAAGAGGTAATGTAGAGTTGGCTTTATGCTCCCATCATCTATTTACAGCAGATGTTCAAAGTCTGAAGTATAGCAAATGCTGTCTTATGTCTGGGAATGCTTTATATATAATAATAGTAATGCCAATAGTACCAAAACCAAAAACCAAACCCACAGCCTTCCAGTCAATTCCGACTGACAGCCACTCTATAGGACAGGCTTCATAGAGTTCCCAAGGAGTGGCTGGTGGACACGAACTGCCAACCTTTTAGTTAAAGCCTAATGCTTAACCATTGTGTCACCAGGGCTCCAATGCTAATAATAGCTGTCATTAAACTTTTACTATGATTCAGGTCCGCCACTGCCTCTCAGTTTGTCCTACGGTGGTGGTCTGTGTGTTGCTGTGATGCTGGAAGCTATGCCACTAGTATTTCCAATAACAACAGGGTCACCCATGGTGGATAGGTTTCAGCTGAGCTTTCAGACTAAGACAGACTAGGAAAGGCACCTGGTGGTCTACTTCTAAAAAAAAAAATGGCCAGTGAAAACCTTATGAATAGCAGCAGAATTTATCCTATATGGTGCCAGTACAGGAGCCCCTCAGGTTGGAAGGAACTTAAAATATGGCTGGGGAAGAGCTACCTCCTCAAAGTAGAGCCACCTTTAATGACATGGGTGGAGTCAAGCATTCGGAACCTTCATTTGCTGATGTAGCATGACTCAAAAAGAGAAGAAACAGCTGCAAACATTCATTAATAATTGGAACACGGAATGTAAGAAGTATGAATCTAGGAAAATTGAATGTCAAAAATGAAATGAGGGTTCTGGACAGAGCTGGAGAAGGATGTAGAACAAAATTCTAACTCACACACACACACACACAAAAGACCAGATTTACTGGCCTAAAGGAGACTGGAGAAACCCCGAGAGTATGGCCCCCAGACACCCTTTTAGCCCAGTGGTGAAGTACTTCCAAGGTTCACCGTTCAGCTGGGGAGTGGACAGCCCCATAAAACCAAATGGGACTAATGAGGTACAGCCATCCGGGGACAAGGGCTAGAAGGCAGAAGGGGACAGGAAAGCTAGTGATAGGGAACCCAAGGTTGACTAAGGATAGTGTTGGTGTGTTGTGAGGTTGTTAACCATTGTCATAGGGCAACATGTGTACTAACTGTTTAATGAGAAACTATTTTGTTCT